TTAGCTGAAATTAACTATATTTATTTGTATATTTAGTCAGCTAGTGTCACAAAATTCACATGTAGGAAGATTATTTTCTCCTTTCCATTAACTGATAATTATTTTTGGATACAAACTACTATGTTTATTATCTCTACCCTACATTTTTAAAAATCAGAATATATACTTAACAAGTATTACATATAATACAAAGTCAGTCTATCTATACATTTTTATTATTATCAACAATAATTTCAAGATGAATTTTACTCTAAGTTTCTCAGTGGTATTTGCTGCTAACCAGTTATTTGTTAGAAATCACTGGAATCTAATAATAAAAGACAAACATTCATCCAGACCTAAAAAATACCCAGGTCATGGTTTAACTGGTCTTAGATAGTGAATGTGTCATCACATTCAATATTATCTAAACATAGTTAATAATACAAGGGTATATGTTGATAAGACAAGGGGCAATGGCCTTAAACTGAAAAGAGGGTAGATTTAGATTAGATGTAAGGAAGAAATTCTTTACATTGAGCGTGATGAGGCAGTGGAACAGGTTGTCCAGAGAAGTTGTGGATGCCCCATCCCTGGAAGTGTTCAAGGCCAGGTTGGATGAGGCTTTGGGCAACCTGGTGTAGTGGAGGATTTCTCTGCCCATGGCAGGGGGTTGGAACTAGATGATCTTTGAGGTCCCTTCCAACCCAAACCATTCTATGATTCTATGATTTATTTAATCACTTATTAAGAACCAACAATGTTTTTTATGGCTATAAAACACATTCAACGTATTTACCGTGACAAAAATATCACCGTTTGTGAGAATGATATTAAAAAACACTCAGAAACTTCTAAGTTACAACATACATTTTCAATAAAGGTGATCTTAAATCTTTGAAGTTACATGCACGTATTAAATGAGTCTGAGAATTAACTTTGTAGCATAGCTCGAAAAGTAGATACCCTGTGAATTCAGAATATTAAAAAAAGAGTTACAAAAGTGTTGGTTAGAATCAAAAATCCTATGTAAAAATATAGAGTATGGAATTGAAGACATTGAATGTGTGTTTATCTGCAGTACTAAAACTAAAACTGTGTGCTTTAGAAAATGTTTCCAATACTAGAAAGTTGATGCTGTAAAAGTATAGGAAACTGGGAACAAAAGAAAAGCTCCAAGTACTATCACCTCTCCAATGGCTAGAAGTAACTACACTGACAACAAATGGAATTCACCTCCAGAGCATATCTCATTTGCATGAAACTTTACTTAAACTCCAATTAAGTAATAATCATGCATTTAATGTATTTAATACAAATTTGAAAAATGTCTTAAAGTGCATGAGCTTTACAGAGGAAGTTCTGGACAGTAGTGTACAACTTAAGACTAAGGTAAAATAACAACATACATGAAAGTTGAATAGGAAAATAAGTTATAAATAAGTTATTCCTCAGTGATAAACCAGCAAAACTCATGCTTTTAAAACTTTTTTTTTTTTAAGGTCAATAATGAACATGGCAGAAAAACACACATATTAGTCGAAGGAATTACACTTTTTCTTGGAAAGATTTCATCCATGCATAGTTTGTAAGACTATGAAGTTCTGAGTAATGGAAAAGGTAACTTAAAAATAGTATCAATTCTACTCAGGGATTTAAGATTAACTTAGCTGTGTGATAACTGAATTACATTTTTTTAATCTCAACATAAATTAAACAAGGTAAAAAAAATTGATATAATTTGGAGTAAAAGCGTCAAAGACATTAGCAGCAGACATTGAAAAAGGAACGTCTCTCCCAAGAGACGGAACAGGAGATGGTTGATTCTGTGGCTATGAACACCTGAAGCTGAAAGTTTCACACAATTGGAATCTAAAGGTGTGAGACCGAAGCAAGTTACCAGGAATTAAGAAAGGATGTGGCCTATAACATATGAGATATTCAATGGCATCTGTGGACGTACACATTTTTAACCTTGTGTCAGATATTCCTTTTACACTACGGTAACAAGGTAAGGAATCTTGCATTTACTTCATAGCATGAGCATATATAAGCAGTGATGACAGTGTAGACAATACACTATAAATTAACGTACGTGGCACATCCAACAACCTAAGAACTTTACCAGTTGACAGAGACTAATAGTCAAGAAAAATAAGGAACCCATTTGTGGATTACACTAAGAATTTTGGTAATTAAAGCAAACAAACATTGGTCAAAAGGATTGCTATATTCTTAGGCAGTCTTTATTGTAATCTCATGAATGGTTTTGCATTGTTTTGTATAATGTAACTTGAGAGGTGGTGAAGGAAAAATCTGCAATAGGCTTATGGTTATTAAATGGTGAATATGTTTGTAGGCAAGGACAACACAATATCTTCACCGATACCTGTCAAAAGTAGGTAAAAAATTAGTGCAGCTTTCTTCATCCCTTGGTAATGGTATCAACAGAAGTTATTGCAGATTATAAAGTATGATGCTATCTATACAAATTTCAGATTTGAGCAGTCTAATCCTTGAAAATTAAATGTAAAGTGAAAAAAAAAGCTGTTGCTCACCATAAAAGAACTTTTTAATAAGCTTAATTGGCACCATAACTTTTCCTCATTAGAACAGGACAATTTTTTTCCAGTATTACAAAATGAACTGAATAAGATACCATCTAATATAGTTTATTCATCTCTTGCCAAATGTTTCCAGTACAGAAGCTGAAAATGTAATGATTTTAATTAATCTGATGTTTTTAAGTGATGAGCATTTACTGTTCTCATTGAAGCCAACAGGAGTTACTAAAGTTGAGCAGCTTTGAACAGAAGGACGATTCCCACACGATTCCCACACTTACAGGCAATTTTTGGTAAGTAAGCTACCTACATTTGAAACCATTGCTCTCTGGGAATCTATGTCTCTCTAGTGACAGCACATCTATGATTCCATAATTTAAATCCTTCTCAACTGATATGCACAATGAATAGACTTCTTTTGGTTTTATGTAGTGCTGGGAGAGCACATGGTGCTAAGGAATAACAAAATGTGCCAATCCCTGACTACAATTTTTACCCCAAAGAGCTGAAAGGGCACAAGCTGTAAAGCACAGGAAATGCAAAACACAACACAACACAGACAGAATGACAAGTGGTTGTTATTACTGAAATGCGTTACAAAATAAGTGGATTTTCAGGATATTTTTGAAGGAGGATAGTGAAGGATCTTTACGTACGTTAATTGGGAGGCTGTTCCATGTGTAGGAGGGCAGCGTGGAAAAAGACACAAAGTTGGGAGTGAGCAAAAGAGACAAAAGGGGAATTAAGAGTGATGCTTGGGAAGTGCTGACAGTAAAGGAAATGAGGACCAAGGTTAAGCCAGAACCAAGAGTGCCTTGAACATGGCTAACTTTATGTAAGGAAGGAAAAAGAATTCCTGGCAAAGGCTTAAGAAGCAAGGAAACATGGGCAACTATACAGGAAAGGAGGAATGATTTGTGCAGCATGTCCCAGAGGAAAAAAAAAAGTAAGAGTTAGGAAGTGGGAGACCAGTTCACATCAAATAACTACCGTAACAAACATTTCAGTCTCAAATAATGGAAAAGAATTAACTTCACTGAGATTACGACCAATACCCAGCCAGATGTGAGGAGTGGTAAGAACATTAGAGTGCAGTGATTCTTTATCTAAAGCTGTTAAATCATGTGAAAAATCACCACGCAGTGTAAAAACCACATGCCCGAAATAAATTCAAACGGAAAAGGTTAGAAAAAAGGTGTTTAAAACATGCCATTCAATGTAGCAGTAAAACGCGTTTGTTGCGGTTGTTCTATAAAATGAGTAACTCAACTGATACACAAACAAATTCTGCCCCTACGGGTTTTAGCTGCTGCATTCCTATTCATCATCACAGTCACCAGTTACGAGAAATACACAAACGCACAGCGTACACTGAACTTTGATGAAAAAAACTTTTAAAACACAAAGCTGCTACCCCATAAGAAAAATCAAATTAATTACTTTTTAAGCATATGAAGGGGAATGAAGTACCATGACTTTACTTGTTCTGAGTCAGAAGTATCTTTTTGCATGGTCTAAGTTTACTTTCCTTCCAGATTACAATTCTGTGTCACTTACGAGTGCATATTCATTAGCTCTTGAGAGCTAAATACAAAAAAATTGAGCAATTAGTCACTAACACTAGTAATAGCAACTTCTATATTACTGAAGCCTTAAAAAGTAATGTTGGAATTAATATTACTACTTCCTCTCCTTGCCAGTATTTTCAAAGGAATTATAATCATATTGATTACTTTTAGTAAGTGTTTGATATTTTTGGGGTTTAAACACAAATCCACGTCCAAGCAACTCACATCGTATTGACAGGTGTGGAGCTTGAATATTTGTATCTGAGTTCAACTCATGATGTCACTGATGTCCACCTCTACTACGGTTAATTAAATCAAATCATATCATATCATATTTTGCTGGAAACAGAAACAGACATCTAAGTCTCTAGTCTTCTTCCACGTAGTGATAGTTCCTCAGTAGGCCCAACTAGCAGTGCTTACTTTTTCTTGTCCTTATTTTCTTTCCACTCATATGGTCACAAATACACTGTTCAGAATTAGATGATTGAATGTTGGTCACTTCCACTGTATCTCAGTGAGAGGATTCAGTAAAGCAGTCCCTCTCCTTTTTTCTATTTTGTGTGTGTGTGTAAAACTGCAGGAAAAAGAAAATATTACATACGTTTACCACCTCTATTTTAGAAGGTCTCAATTTAGAAATTATTTAACTCCAATTAAAGCTTGTAGGAAAATCCTTCTAGCTTCAAAATTAAATCTGACTTTTAAAAATTCTACATAGCCTTTAGCAGGTTTTAAAGTGTACAAAGAACAGGATGTCAGTTAGACCCCTAATTACAGAGCAAGAAATTTATGCATCTCTGCACTACATAAAGGCACACCACACACAGTTCAGTTTGAACAAGCTCATGTTACACCACCTCAAACACTCAGGGAAATCTGTACTTACCCACAAATCATGTTCAGCATAATCGAAGAGCAGCCAAACCTTTCTGTCACTGTGAGAAAGGAAAACCTTCTGCAACGCAATCACGTTAGGGTGCTTCAGCTCTCGTAAAAGCTGCAGAGAAACAGAGAAGCTCTTGTTACTTCTACGCTTATTAAGAAAAGAAAAAACAACAATAACAACAAAAAGCCAAACAGGTGTCTTCACAAATAACAAGCAAGTGATCCTAAAACAGGCCCTAGAAGAAAAGGTACCACTGATTCTGCACGTTACCCTCAAAATGTCAAAATCATGAGGATATACGCAGTCTCCAGGGCATTGGTTGCTGTTCTGCAAGCACAGCTGACCATCACTACCTACTTTTCTCTCCGTCCCACACTCAGCACACAGCTGTCCATCCTGCCTATTTATCCCACTCACCCTCAGCTTCTACCTAAAGGATATAACTACACACAAACATAACTGTTCTCTCATCAAAGGTGAACATCAGGATTTAAGGATGTCAGAATGAAACTTATGCAGTTGGTCCAGTTCTCCATGTGGACACCACAGCTCTTCATCACGACATAATTAATGTATTACCAATAATTTTCTTTTGCATTGCATCCCTGCCTCACTTGCCTGGAAGTCCGCAGGGTGGTTGTTCTCAGCATATAAGGGTGTTTTCAAATAAAAGTTTACCAAAATCATTTTTCTAATAGTTGTTTCAACTACTGTCCTGTAATCCAGAAATAAATCCAAGCTTATTTACTGCTTGCTGGAAAGAAAACTAGGTCTCACAACTAATTAGACAGCACATTAAAGCAAGCACAGCTGCTGAAGTCACCTTTCTGCCAGATTAAATCAGTCCTCAGGAGGAGTTGGGAAGCAGTACTCCCAAAAATATAATTTCCATGGAATCACTTCTTTTTTCCCCCCTCCATACTGCAGTCACAAGAATGACAGATCACTTCTGTTTTAACTGAAAATTGCTTGCATCTGCAGCACTAGTATATAAATTGCTGAGAATCAATTTATAATGGTGAAATAGTACATGGAGTAGGTTCCAAGGCACATTTGAGAGAAATGGATCTCCTCCTTTTTCACCTTACAGAAAGAGACTCACAATGTTTGTTTCAGGGGGAAAAGGAAAATAAGGAAAGGGATTAATTTTAAATTATATTATCCTTTGGCTATACAGATATCTGTCAAGACAAGAAATCTTCTAAAGAATATTACAACCGCTGAAATCTATTCCAGTTTTCCCACAAATGAAATCATTTAAATGCTTTCTCTACCATGCAGGAAATGTTTTCATCTTTTTGTTTCTTCCTCTCCCTAACACTAAGTATTTCTAGCTGTAAAAGAAATAAATTCCTCCCTAATGAACTGATCGGTACTCATGCCCAGGTATCACTTACAAGATACAGTAAAAATCATTTTGTCACTTAACAAATAGTAACAACTTGCAGAATTATAAACTAAACCAACCCTAGAGATTAAAATTGCCTCTTCGACATGCATCAAAAGATTTTTCAATATACCTTGTCTTTAGAAATATTAAAAATTATTTTCTGGTAGGGATTTGACGCAATGCCTCTGCTTTTTTTCTCTTATTTTTTAATAAAGAATTATTTTCATTTTAGGATAATTTTTAAACTAGGAGCAGAAAATAAAACATTATAGCAGGTACTTTTTTTTTTAAATTGCTATTAGACTTTTCCTAAACATACTCTTGGCAATAATGGCAATATAAAATAATTTCAAATTGTTTTTAAAATTAACCAAAACAAATGAATAAAGCATTCTCTCAAAATAAGTAAAACTTTGCAGTAAGAAAAAGCCAAAGAGAATACAGTTCCATATCAAATGCCAGCACATAATAAAAAAGTTGACAGAAATATTATGCAGAGCATAAGAATAGAAAGAATGCCTAAAGCGTTGTGCATTAACAGAAAGGTGCTATACGAAAACAAGACAGGAATGTGCACACTCTGCAGCTCTCAAACACCACTGGTCACCCACCCCACACAGGGAAACTACATAGCAGTGGTCACCATCTATCAGAACAGCCTGATTAATAAATGAAACCTGAAACTTCTTTTCATGCAAGTCATGAAAAAGGATATTTTCATATTAAAGAAAGTGGTGAATTTCTTACCCAAAACAACAATATAGACTCATTTACAATGAGTAAGTTACTTCTAACACATTGTTCTCCTCTTTTGAGTCACCTTAGATGACACAATCCTTATCCAAATCCAGCATTTTTCACGTGACGGAATCAAACTGTTATGGGTATGATCTTAAACACTGATTTTTGTGAAAAACATGAGAACATGAGGAAGAAATCATTATTCTAGTTTTCTACTACATGTGCTGGGTTTCTAACAGAGAATGTCTGTATCTGACCTGAAGCTGAAGAATACAGCACTCTAAGGCCAATAAAGAGCCTCTGCAATAAAGTTCTGATGCTGTATTTCTCAGCTACTGTACTGTGAAATGCAATAAGGTTATTTTTAAAGTTGCAATCTAGAGACATTCCCAATATCTTAATCATAGGGGTTACAGCAGCCTTATAATTAACAATGTTTTATTTTTTTTTCTCAAGAGGAGCAGTTACAAAGCAAAACATTTCAGAGCACAAATACTTAACCAAAACACATCTTATCTAACAGTTATATTTAAGAGGACATTCATCATTTATACAGAACATTTAAGGACTTGATTCCCTGACTTAAACTCATTCTGTAGTTACATTAGACACCGACCAGTATCAAAAACAAGACTGAAAATTTGTCAAATCACCTTGTTCCATCTAGTAGTATGTAACGGAAAATACTGATAGGTTATTATTAAGAATACTTAAATAAGGTTTTGTGTTATCTGTTCTGTGCTCCATCAGATGAACAAATTTGTTAATTAAGGAGGAAGACAACTCAATTTTTGTGTTATTCTCATTTGTCTGTCTTAAGTGAATGCTTTGCAATTACCATGGATAGTCATTTTGGATGTGCTTTTATAGTTCTAGCAAATAAAGGATCTTTATGCCTTCTTCTATGGAGTCACAACTTTAATATAAGCAGCAGGTCATAAGGAATTTCACGTAAAATAGAAAGCTTCAAGCGGAAAGAAGTGGTGCGCATCCAAAACAGAAGAGTTTTAAAAGCTCTGCTGCATTCTGGACATCAAGACTACCGGTGCCACAGCAGCCTGTGCTTCAGCAGCAGGAGTCAGACCCAGGAAACATCGGCTCTTGGGTCCAACGTTCCAGGTCAAGATCAAGAGCTCTGTTCTAGCTACGCTGGGCTTGCAATGGTGCTAGACACCAACTAGAGAAGATCAAAAACTATAGCTTAGAGTACAACTGACTAGCATGAGTCACAGACAGAGATGTTGGTCAGATTTACGTCTAAAAATAATCTCCTCTAGAGAAGGACTACAGCAGAAGAGAGGGTGACCACAGGGACCGAATCAATGCTGTTGACAGGTACAAAAGAGCAGAGATGAGGAGAGTCATTCAAAAAGCACTGGAAAGACATGATCAGAAAGGTACACAGGGCAGAACCGAATACACAGCTATTGAAACCAAGATACAGCAAATTTCAGATAAGTGTTTCTAAGACAAGCATTGATCTGTGATTTAGCTAAAAAGAAATCGGACACTTTGGAAACAATATACGCATTAAAGCAGACAGGTGGAAGCCAATAACATGAAAACATGGGGATGTATTTAAAGCTACTTGCGTCACAATTGTATCAACTACCTACCCTAATGACTCTTATGTTTGACCAGAATTTTGTCAATATTTAACTTCTACATCAACCACCTGACTGTACTGACAGTAATTTTTGTCTAAATAGCTTCAAAATTTTGTATTGCTTTAAAGGATACCAAGGGTAGCACCTAGTGCGTGAGCTAACCCTAGTCTTGAAAACAATGACCTAACTCAAGTCATGCTAAATTTGCCACTTTTGCTTTTCTGTCAGCTTCTGCTAGGAAGGGCGGGGGGTTCCTATTGCCTTTGTGCAGACTGAGAACAAATCTGACTTCAAATTCTTTGAATGAGGGAGCAGAAGAACTAATTTTTAAATATATTGTTCAAATAGGAGATATAGGGCAGAAAGGGAAAAAGGAGAGTCATAACACTACATTTAGGTAAGACTTTAGCCTAGTCTAACGGCTCACCTTGCAGTTACGCCTTTCCACTTCTCACTTTATTAGCTGCCACACGCCACGTACATCTAACAGTTAAGTCATTCGCCTTTGTTCTGAAATGGTTGTACGTCTGTTCATCACTATAAACATGCTTCACAAATGCGCGTTTTAGCCATATCTACACTCCCAAAGACAACTTCAAAAGATGCTGTAAATCACTCTCTATGGCTTTTCTGCAACACAGATTGCCATATAAACTTTAAGCATGCAAAACAGATGAATGAAACATTAATACCACTACTATTTTTTTTAGGTCTTGTGCTGAAGTAAAACAGTTTGGAGACTTGGTTAATTCAGGTCTAAAGCTAGGAAGAAGAAATTAATATACTGTCTTATTAATTGAAAGATTCCAGTGTACCTGACAACATTTTATTGCAAGGAAACAACCTGAACGTAAAAAAGATCTGCAACTGCTGGAATTTATTACTAAGTGAACACAGCATCGTATTTTAATAGTACTTTAGCTTATTGTTCCTCTAAAATTTAAGTTCCATCATACCCAATTTGCAGTAAAATGCTAATAAAACTCTGTCTCAGGTGAGTTACAGTACATTTCTTTCTTGGTAACAGCATACAAGGCAGGTTAAGCAGAAAGTCATTGAGAACAACATAATTCTGTATTGTCAGCATCTGTGCAACTTTGACTCTCCTGTGCAATGGCTTTCTTGTAAACATACTGGATTTTATTTTTATTATTCTTCTGGTCAAGAGAATTGTGCAAGCATCTTTGCTCATCACAGCTCTTAGTTGATGTCACGGTCTTAAATTTTAAAACACTGCATTTGGATAGTCCAAATAGCATGAAACAGCTCGTAGGATTCCAGGCAGCTCCACGGTATATGCAGAATTGCTTGTAATTTCTTCTGCTGGCTGACAAGTAAGTTCTCTCACGTGGGACACCGAGCACTTTCCTCAC